GTTTCGAAGTGCGCCCATCGAGAAAAACCTTGAAATATGTTGCTCATCAAATTAATGCCGAAGTAGTCGGCAAAGAGGAATATTAACATCNAAAAAAAAAACTAGTTAACATCTAGCAGTAGTAAAGATCTAACTCACATATAGTTTCACCGTCGAACGAGACTGTACCAACAACATTAGGATCAGCACCCTTTGCAAGCTGAAATTGTTTTTTACAGGCAATGACACTGACATTTAGAGAATGGAGGATTCCTAGAGCATTGGCTTTAAAAAAGTCAGTGATGTAAGCATTTATTCCATTGTGACAGCCCGACTTATTCTTAATATAAATATTAAATTTTTGCAAGGGTCAACAATTAACTTCCGTAAAAACGACGAGGTCACTTTAAAACCCAATCCTTTGATAAGAATTGGGTGGTGTTTGAGGCTTCAAACAGACGCTACTTTACAGATGAGCTCTATCTCAGCCTCTTCTCTCAATTCATGTCTTCCTGGGAAATCCCTTCTCGATCATCGCCCTATTAGGAGGAAGAGTACAAAAGGAAATAAAGAAAATCTTGCTAAACATAGGCCACTAGAAAATGACAAGGAACTCTTGAAAACTACACAATACGCTTGAACTAAACTCACCAGATAGCGTACTACATCGACATGGCCATTTCTGGAGGCAATTACCAAAGGAATTTTATCGTTTTCTGTACTGTTAAGGCAACTATCCAACCAAGGTTTCGAAGTGCGCCCATCGAGAAAAACCTTGAAATATGTCGCTCATCAAATTGACGCCGAAGTAGTCAGCAAAGAGGAATATTAACATCAATTTGTCAAGATGGAGGAAAAAACTGTAATCCTACTTTAAGACGACGAAGGTTTCCCGCGCTGGCGGCATTGAAAACTACCGCGCGGAATTCCATGCCATTCATGCTGAAATACTATCAATCATCAATGTCCGCATAAAACGCATTGAAAACGTGGCAGCGAGAAGAACGACGAAGTTTTATGGTAAAGTAAATAAGTACAACTGATAAATTTAACTACCTTTTCGAATACTTGCAAAGCAAACACATACGATGACAGCATTGGTGTTGTCACAAACAATAACCACTACGATTGCGAAAAGAGAAAAAAGATCGATAAAATTGGCACAAACACAACAACAAAACAGAAAAACAGAAAAGTATATAGCAGGAACAGCAGCTGAATGTTACTACCGCTACCTCGCGCTCACGAGACGTTTCATCCCAAACGAGACGTAATTTTCCTTGTGGTGCATTTACGAAGTGCTATATCTTACGACAAAGCTAGGGTGAATGGCAGCTTCTGATTCATTCTTGAGTCTTATTCACTGAATTTTCATGACGAAGGTGTTTTCTGGTTGATAATGCATTTTTAGGTATGTTGATACGAGCTGTCCTTCGTCGAATATCCCTATTATCATCGAGAACCAACTGTTTGCCTAATTTTTACCGGGTTTCGTTCGTTGTGCCGGATGTTCCATTGAGAAGATGCTCATCTCAAGCAAAAGATCAGGGATCCAAATCAGGCCAGGAAAATCAATCGAAAGTCAATGATCCGCAAGAAAAAGGTATGGGTTTTACTGTTGTTTGAAGTCATATAAGATGCTCGAAATCAAGTTTACTTTGATTTTATTACGCATGCCGAAGGCACTCGTAAGAACCGAGTAGTGTGAGTAACCAGAATCAATGCGTGAAACATCAAACGGGGAAAAGGTCGCTCTACGTTATTTCAAGTGTAGCTATAGGTAATCGCAGGTAACTACGTTTGATAGCTAGTCCCATAGAGCGATAGGAATGGTCCAAACTCAGGTTAAAGGTTGGCCACCACGGCGTTTGGATTGGTGCTTGAGTTGGGTGAGCGGTAAGTAGCTAGTGTATTCCTATACAGCTTCTAAGAGCAGCTACCAGGTCTGAGGCAAAAGTTCCTTGCACGCAATTTTTTTTTTGGGACTTGCAAGTCTTCAGACTCGTCCTATCGAAATTTTGTTTGTCATTTTAAAGGCATTTGAACACCAAAATGAGCTCTTACCATCTTATGAACCGTGGAATGATCGAATCTTGCGTCCAAATTGTAGGAAAGGATTAGGTGAAATTAATCATTTCATCTAAGCCTTTCCTTTGTAATTTTCGAATCTCCGGTTTCTTCGATTTTACTGACAAGCTTTCGGTTTATAATCCCTTCTTCAGACCTTAAGCTTACAATTCTCAGTTGAAAAATCATTCAATATTTAATTACTACCCGGAACAAATCAGATCTTATGGAATCTACCGAAAAGATTGTCTAAAAGGGGTGTGGACCAGGAAAAATGGTGTAATCAAGTAGTCATTGTTTCAGTAAAAGTCCGAAAGGCTTATATTCTTGGTGGGTGTTTAATGTTCATGTGGATTTCCCTGCATGGTATACTTCTATATCGACGACGCAATGAACATCGTTCTCTCAATGAAAAACTTCCACCGATTTCATGGAAGGAGTTTGTCGACAAGTACCTCTTGTCCAATAAGGTAAGTTTTCCTTTTTTTCTTCACCTGTCGCTTGAATTTGTGACGGGAATTGAATTTGTGTCGTTTGAATTTGTGTTAAAAATTAAGTAGTATTTATGACCCCCATAAGAGTGTCGGAAAGATGGAATTCATGGATCAGGTTGGATGTGCACAGTATGGGCCTGTAAATGAGGGAAGGGCTGAAGAAACAGAAGAGGTGAGGAAGGTTGGAAGAAGGTGAATTGTTGAGGTTGAGAGGGTATATAAACATATTCTTTCGCATAATGAATCACTCTACACACTGGATTCATTCACATCGCAACTGGCGAGCAGAATGATATTCAGGACCGTGAGAAAAAGAAACGGGCCCGGAAGAGAAGAAGCCGTTACCGCCACGGTAAGAGCTCAGACGCGGCTCGAGAAAAAGAAGAGACGACCGTCATGGTCATGGTTCGAGCTTCAGCACCCGCGGTTCGGGAGAAAAAAAGCGCCCGCTTCCGAAGCAGCTCTAACAGCAGGCGAAGGCAAGGCTCCGACACGTAAAGCTGCAAGGCATATCCTGGCTTAATAAAGCATTATGCTTATGTGTTTGTTCATATCGGAACTTTGTTGGAACGAGTCTGGATACGCTCAGTATTCGGTCATCATAATCTCTTCTCGAATTCCGCTTTGCAATTTCATTTGTTAAAAATGATAGTTCTCGTTTTGTGTGCAAAAAACGGAGACTTTCGAGGATTTTATAGGATAGTACTGCCGTAGGCTGTCAAAAATATCTCTAGTACTTCTATATATCTATAAAAATTACATCTNACAGCAGGCGAAGGCAAGGCTCCGACACGTAAAGCTGCAAGGCATATCCTGGCTTAATAAAGCATTATGCTTATCTGTTTGTTCATATCGGAACTCTGCCTGGAACGAAACTGTATACGTTCAGTATTCGGTCATCATAATCTCTTCTCGAATTCCGTTTTGCTATTTCGTTTGTTAAAAATCATGGTTTACGTTTTGTGTGCAAGAAACGGAGACTTTCGAGGATTTTATAGGATAGTACTGCCGTTGGCCATCAAAATATCCTCTAGTACTTCTATATATCTATAAAAATTACATCTACAGGTGAAAACTATTGTGTTTCAACCACAATTTGAAGTTGGAAATGTGTACCTTCATTCACCACTAGAAGCATCAATGAAGAAAGCCATGTTGGATCTGGTAAGTTTTTTTTTAAAAAGGAATCCTTGAACTTTCAGTATGTGAGGCAAGAAATAGCAAATAGTAAAAGATTAAAGGAATCGCAAGATCAGAATTCGATCAAAATTACCTCGATCCCAGTGAAGGTCGTACACTAGGTTTGAATAAACTGAGTTGTGGCCAAGCTTAAATTTGTTCTTTCACATTTTTAGGCAAAGAACGTGAATTTTCTCTGTAGTTTCAAACCTCATACAGCTATAGCTCGATTATTCAGATCCACATTGCTCCAGATAAGTTTTCCCGACCTCCAGACGTTCGATTTTCTTTCGAAGGTGATGGCCCAGATGTTGAAAAGGCAATATTGGAGCTCCAAAAGGCCACACATGGTTCAGCTACACCTTTGAAAGCAGTTGAGTTTGAGCTGGATCAGTTTCCCAGTTACAGGTATGGTTTGGAACATGTTCTCTGTACTTTATTTACGACATTAATTGATTTGTCTGTCACTATGCCTGCTAGCTACATCCAACACATTCAGGGAGCTAGCCTTCATTATAATCAGCACATTATTCACAGTCGTAGCTGTCGCTGTAGTGAAATAGATTGGTGAATATCATTTTACGGATGTGTTGTACATATGCTGCTTGAATCACTCTACGGATCATCCCTTTGAGGTCAGTGATTCATTCTTTTCTGCCTTATATCCATGGACAGAAGGGTAGCGCAATGAGAACATCTTCGCATCGGTGAAGAGTATTTTGTCTCTTGGTATTTTTCAAATGATTTCTTTTTTTTCTGTCCTTGCATCGTAAGCTACTAGGTGCTTAGAGGCGGAGGTGGTGTAGTGGCATGTGGCGCACTATCTCACACGTACGGTCAGGGATTCGAATCCCGGACAGCCTAGGCTAACCAAGCCTTCCATCTCTCCGGGGTCTCTTAGTTATACCGGAATCCTCTGGGAGGATAAAAGCACTCACTTGTACATCGGCTGGCCACCGCAAGTCATTTTATAGGCCAGATATGCACTCATTCGCCACTACGATTCTGAATAGAAGTCGAATGCGGGGGCGTATCCCTCAGACGGGATTGATTACGCCTAAAAGTTTATCATTTTATCGGATGTTATCAAGCGGCGTACTGTCACACGCGCATGTGCCGGTTAACGAATCTGGATCGTTACCCATACCAGACTTGTCTGGAAGAGAAGAAGCGCTGACTTCATCGTCTGCTATCTAACGCAGTCATTGTGTAGGCCACGTAAACATTAAAAAAGCCTCTACGATTCTTGGTGGAAGTCAATAGAAGGGCGCTTTTCGATTGAAAAGATTGACTAAAGTCAAACATTATTCTTCTTTCATTATCCTCATCCGATCACATAATTCAGGTGAATGGCGTTCCAGTCATTAGTATACGTCATATTTTCAATCACTACACTCAAGCACAATGTGGTGATTGTCATGAAACGCTCGTTGCAATTGTAGATTTTCAAGTTCAAGTTCCTTTTTTCAGCGGATCCTCGATTTTTTCATCTGCTAACTTGTCTGTATTGTACGGGATGTTGCTAATTTTGTAATTTTGAATTTTATACTAACTGAGGCAAATCGGTAGGTTCGGGTTCCAGAACGTAAACATAACACATCACAGCTGGTCATAGTTTACTACAATCTGGAAACCATTCAGTTGATACAGTTTTGCACTGGTTGCTGTAGTGTAGCGTTATTTATGGTCTGATGATTAGATAGATCTGAAAAGCTCGTCTTCACAGAATGACCTGCCTCCTTTGTGGGGTCTTTACACATGTTGCAATGTTTACGTTATTTTTGAACTTAATAAACTTCCTAAGGCTCAACCGCGTAGGTCAATTGGGTAGGTTATTTTCTTACATCTTGGTTTTGTTATAGATGATTTTGAAGGGTTGTTATGTTGACAATCGAATGAAGATTTTTTATAGAACTAGCTCTGTAAAACTCCTGAATTATAAAAAAAACAAGACGGATCCCCTTTCTAATTCTTTGAATGGCGCTTTTGGTTACATAGCCTTTCAGAATTACCAGTTCCTACTACAGGAATTCGAGTACTGCTGGGAATAAGTTCCAAAACAGACCTGGCAGGAAATTACGTATTAGGACGAGTTCCAAACAAATCCACGCAACCTTTTTGGAAAGTTTTGAATTCTATTCTTATAATTCCGATGGATCTACCGTGTGAAACATGAAAATCAACTTGATCTGAATCGATACCCAACCAGCTGGCTGGCTCCGGTTTTCTTCCGATACGTCTGCGAATATGGACCTTACCGCTAGTGGCCTCAAATGGTTCCTTCTACAACAAGTGTGCATGGCTCTTTACTTAAAGCGGCCATGTGGCAAAATGTAGGTATGTACAAAACTGGGTGAAAACTATGACGTCAGTGATTCTCGGTGCCACCAGAGTAGTCAACTTCTTCACTTTTGATCTCTAAATTCTCAACCTTCGCTACTTGAGGTCATTCTCATGCATGAGCGGTTTTTCCGCTTCAAGAGCAATGCCATTTTAAGCTTAAACCCGCTGTGCCGTAGTCAATCTGCTAATCGTTCGGATATTAAATGCTCTTTTTCACAACAATTCCTTCCTAGCTCCCATGATCTTCACTCGTATCGAGTGTAGTGACCTGATCTGATCTCTAAGGATGTCGTTCCCAGCACCTGTCCTGTGCTCCTTCCTTCCTCTACTCTTTCTCCGATACCATTACAATTCCTTATTTTCAGAAAGGTTTCGATGTGTCACACGTGAACTTTTTTTTNTAGGCGAACTACTCTTTCCTCTCAGCAAGAACTGATGATGCGTTCTATAGTGGATGTTTTTTGAACAGCATTGTTGCGCTTTCCCATGGAGTGGACCTCTGGTGAAAAGTTTTGATAAAATGATCAATTTTTCTGAATGCGCTCCACAATCGCAGTGACATTTTGAATGCTTATGTGGCTTATACAATAACCAATGCCACTTCATCACCTGCGCCTTTTCCCGAGAAGGGTGTATTGCCGATGTGCAGGTCGGGGCTTTTATCCTCCCTGATGGATATGGGAACAATTTAGTGACCCCTGAGGGATTTAAGGCTTGGCTGGTCTCTAGGCAGATATCGATACCATCCTCGCTTATACTTTTCGGAAGAGGGAAAAGCGGAGGTGGAGTGAAGTCAAGTGCGCGTTGACCTGCATACCACTTCATCACCTCCACTATTCCCCTGAAAAACCTTGATGTGGTAAATCACATAGTAAATGGTCATACTTAATCTTGGAGAGGCTTATATAATGGCAAAACCAATGTTCCAGTCTCTACGCCGAATTACTGATTTTCTGAATAATCAAATTTATGCGGTGGTGGTGGTGGTGTAGTGTCAGACGTATGGTCCTCGTTTCATTTCCGGGTAAATACTCGCCCAGGCCAACTAGGCCTTCCATCTTTTCGTCGTCGGTTAATTGCTATCATACCCATCTGGGAGGATAAAAGCGCTGACTTGTTTGACGGTTGGCTCCCACTAGCCACTACACATAATGCATTCTATAGCTGCTACGATTTCGAATGGAAATCATATGCAGAGTGTGTACATTTCTAGAAGTTACCTTTTGCTCCTCCAGCTCAATTTTTTGGTGTTCTGTTCGTCTCAGTAGAGACAGTTTCTGTGCAGGCTATGGGTGGCTGAACAGCTGTGCGGCTGTTTCTCTCCACCACTTGGGATTTTACTCTTCGGCTTTGTCACATCGCGCGCTTCTGAATGATTTATTACCCTACAACGCGAGCACCCCACGGCTAACCCAGTTTGTCAAGGTCCAAAGGACATCGGGTCTCTGCATAACCGGCCCTATACGCGTACCAATATGATCATATCCTGATTTATTTATGGCCCATGACACTATTCTGCTTGAGATGCGGTCTGCATTCTGCTTAACCAATTCAGTGTCTTCTTCAGCTGGCTACACACACCGCTACGGTCATTAAATTCTATTTATTTTGTACTTGAGTGTTGACCGAATAAGTTTCAAAGATTGAAAATTCCACTCGAAAGATAACGGCAGCATGTCCTCTGCAGTATAGTGTCCAAGCATTCGTGATCCATAACTTTCCACAGGGTCGATCGTTTCGCCCACATGCCAAGCTTTTGCTGAGAATATCTAGTTGACTATTCCGTTTCTGTGGGCTTCAAAAGTTGATTTCAGGTGGGAGGGACTCTATTTAGCTTTTTGTACGAAGTGAAAGTAAATTTCCGATAGATTTAGGACAAGGGAAGTGAAATTTCTCGATCTCATACTTTTCGTACGGTACTGTTTTGTTATTTGTTGTGGGTACTGTAAGAATTCGACCCCTGCTATGTTTTTAGGATGGGCCAGTAAAGTTCTATTGGCTCCCATCTTTGAGGCGACACTCATAAAACGTGACCACAACTCCTTCTTGAAAGCTATTTTCCATGAAGAAGCTCATTCAAGAAGGGAAACTTCTCGGATCTTTGGAATCATTATGATATGTAGATGTAAATTGTGATACATAGACTTCTCAAGTTGTTCTGAAGGTTATTGTTCTTCCCAAAGGATTTATGAAGACCCCATGGAAAATGCTACCAACCAATTTATATCAACTACTGTAAACTACTGTAAACATAAGAGGGCCATAGTAACGAACTTGGCTACTAGTTTTGGGGCGAGTCGCTGAAAAACCCCCACCAATTTCCTTGTTCCAGTAGGTATTTCTGTCTTCACACCTTGACTTACCACCTGCCGTCAAGGCGACACTCTGATTCTACTTCAACTGCTGACTATCAGGTTTCACTTCACAAAATCACTTGGGTTACTTAGGAAAAAGTGATCATTGAACATTTTCACCTTCCTCCTAACCAGTTGTAGCTAGAACACTCCCATATCTAAGGACCATAATGGGGCCATATGAGTCTCCAACGCTCAGTTACAATCTACTGTAGAGTTAGGTGTGAAGGGAATTCGTTTGACTTTCGTGAGTAAAAACAATACTTTGACTTGAGGTCTCGAGTAGCATTTACCCACAGACACTCATTCGGTTCAGCCATCGGGCATAGAATATGCCCACCAAAGGCCTACAGAGGCTGTCCTTAGCTACTAGCCTTTTGATGATTTCTGAAGCTTCTCTTCAAAGA